GCAGATTCTCTCACCTCTGGCAAAAGGCTGGGCGATAGACAGCCAAAAGCAGAGCTAAGATCATGTTGGAAAAGAATAACTAGGAGCGCCTGGGTAGCTGAGTTGGTTAAGCATCTAACTCTCAGTTCCAGCTCAGGTTTCGGGAGTTTGAGCCCCACATTAGGCTCTGTGCTGACAGTGGGGAGCCTGCCTGGGATTCTCTTTCCCTCTCTCTCAACCCTCCTTACCACTCACACTGTCTTTATCTCTCTGAAAATACATTAATAAACTTAAAAAACAAAAACAGGGGCGCCTGGGTGGCTTAGTCGGTTAAGCGTCCGACTTTCGCTTAGGTCATGATCTCGCGGTTCGTGGGTTCGAGCCCCGCGTCGGGCTCTGTGCTGACTGCCAGCTCAGAGCCTGGAGCCTGTTTCAGTCTGTGACTCCCTCTCTCTCTGACTCTCCCCTGCTCACGCTGTCTGTCTCTCTCTCTCTCCTAGAAATAAAAATATTAAAAAAACAAAAAACAAAAAAATAATAACTACCATTCAAAACACATGGGTGAAGAACTGAGGAAGATCATTCAACAAAAGAGGGTTACTGTGACAAGAGCGGCTCAGGTGAGCTGAATGCTTTAAAGGTCAGTTCTCTGTGCAGTGGTATGGAGTGAGGTTAACAAACTTACTGGTACGCTTATATCAAAAAATATTCTCTAACAAAAAAATATTTTCATTCAGATCTCATTCCTCAAACCTATCCAGTGTTTACCCTTATTACTGTAAAATACCAATAAAATAAATGTAATTTTTTCCATTTTATATTAACAGAAAAATGCACAGTGAAAATAACATGAATAGAATGTTGAGAAAAAGCACTCTTTTCCCAGATGGTGATAAGTAAATCAGTGAAAAAAACCTTAAATGAAACAAATTGACCGTAAGTTAAAAAAAAAAAAAAAGAAAAAAAACTTCCTTTGACCAAGCAGACACACTTGAGGGGCACCTGGGTGGCTCAGTCAGTTAAGTGTCTGACTCGATTTCAGCCCAGCTCATGATCTCAGAGTCATGGGAACAAGCCCACGCTGAGTGCTCAGCCTGCTTAAGATTCTCCTTCTCTCTCCCTTTCCTGCTACCCCTCCCCATCACACTCTTGTTCTCTTTTAAAAAAAAAAAGAAAGAAAAAACAAGAAAAGAGATACCTGACATACAAACATTTAAGCCTGAGCAAAAACTTTTCCCACTGCAACTATTTATGCAAAAACTAAAAAGTAAATTTGGAAAAAATTGTATATTGGTTCAGTAAATTTTATGCTCATTTGTAACAATTACCAAAAAAATTATAATGATATGAGAAAATGTTAGGATGCTTAGTTTTGAAGAAAGCAGGATCTAAAATTGTATTTACAGTGTAATCAGCTACATGCTAAGCAGTATTTTAAAGACAGATAAAAATCAAAATGTTAACACAGACCTATCTCTGGATATTTATTTTTGTGCTTTTCTGTATCCCATCCCACTGAAATAGATTTTTAAGCAAAACACAAATCTATTTCCTTTCTGTATAATTAACGCTGGCTAAAAAAATCCCTGCTCTGACAATGCTAACAAAAAGTTATAACCTATAGATCTCATAATTGAGTTTTTACTCCATAATAATTAAAACTTTGCAGAACAATTTTCTTTAATGGGGCTGGGGAGGTGGAGAGGACTGGATTCAAGCATTTCCTCATTCCATTAAAAAATCCAATGGAGAACAGAAAAGAGAAGAACAGATCATCTACAGACCAAAAAACCACAGAAGAAAGGTTCTTCTCTATAGAGGAGGAAGTCTAGTTCATGTATGGATAGAGAAGGATAGGGGAAAGAGAGCAGAGAGAAAATAATCAGAGGAGATTAAATACATCCCAAAGATCCAAATTTATTTCACCTTAAGAATGAACAAAAACTATCTTAAAAGGAAAGGAAAAGGTAAATGACCTTGATTTGGAGGATGGGCAGGAATGGTCACAGGAAGGACGCTATGCAAAGACAGCCTAATGCAAGTTTGAAAGAAAACAGTGAACTTAAAAAAAAAAAAAAAAGAATGAATTTAAAAATTCTAGGAGGGAAATACTGCTACTGAAGTCCTCAACTGAATGAGCGGATATTCTTCCATTATACACACTTCATTCTCTCTTCCAAGTCCTTCATCATATAGATTGAGTAGTTTGTACAGTAAAAACAGTTTGGCATGACAAAAATAATCACTTAGAGTCAAGTGGTTGGAAATCAGGTCCTGACTCTACAACTAGTGAGTTGTATAATGCTGAGCAAACTACCACATTCGGAGTATATTAGTGGACTTTCTCTGAGTCTCTACTGGAAGAACATGTGTAAAAACATTTTAGAACACTCCACAATGCGCTATTGTAGTGGTTGCTACGTGCCCATTAGCTGAAATGCTGTACGGCTAGGAATACATTTTCAAGGCCAGGTCTATTTTTGAATCAAAAACCATAATAGCAGCATTTTACTTAGGAAAGCTAATCAACAGGAGTCAGATAAAGAGAATGAAAATACAGTTGTAACTGGTCCCTCCCAATTTATCCCAATCTTCTCTCTCCCCAAAATCAAGAGAGGTTTCTTAGAGGTTAGATCACTGCTAGTATAGCACAGTCTACAAGGACTTCCCATGTCACTCTAGGCTTTGATGAAAAGGTCCTTTCCAGGTCCAAGATTCTATCATGAGCAAAGAATCAAGCTCTGAGAAGGGAACATAAAATTCAAATAAACAAATTATCTCCTAATTTGCACTCTTAGTCAAACTGGTAAGACTTTTTTGGCTAATATTCTAAATTTGTATCTTCTGGTCATTAATTATACTTATCCACATAAAAAGACAAAAAGTATATATATTCAGAGTTATTACTAAAATATTGGACAGCCACCACAATGGAACGTAAAGACTCAAAAAGTCATAGTTTTTAAACAATTTTAGGGACAGAAAATGACACTAATGATTCTGGGTTTCTAAAGGGGGGGCTGGGAATAGGCCCTCTTTTGTGGAGAAATGGTTTTTGAAGACATGCAAAAGTTGAAATTGTAAGAACTGGAAAGAGAGAAGGGATTAAAGTATAAACACCATAAGTATATTCTGCTTTATTTTCTTTAGCATGTTTTCTGCCATTCCAAACACTATTTTATTTTTCCAAACACATTTTTAAATTCTATAATTATCCTTCACAACTGAGTTACAATATTTTTCTTCAAATTGTTATTACTGAAATATGGTTGATATATTAATTTCAGGTGTGCAACACAGTCATTTGACAAGTCTATACATTACTCAGTGTTCACCACTGTCACCATCTGTAAGTGTGGTCACCATCTGTCACCATATATTACAATATTATTGACTACATTTCCTCTATGCTGTCCTTTTCCCATCTATGACTTATTTTAATACTGACAGTTTGAACTTTTAATCCCCCTTCACCTATCTCACCCATTGTGCCACCCACTCCTCTTCCCTCTGGTAACTACCAATTTGTTCTCTGTATGAGTCTGTTTGTTTTTTGTTTGTTTGTTGTTGTTTTAGATTTCACATATTAAGTGAAGGCATATGCTATTTATCTTTCTCTGACTGAATTCACTTAGCATGATTCCCTCAAGGTCCATCCATGTTGCTGCAAATGTCAAGATGTCAGTCTTTTTTATGGTTGAGTAATATTTCATTTTGTGTGTATGTGTGCGTGTATGTCTATATACCACATCTTCTTAATCCATCATTCTAACGATAGGCGCTTAGGTCGCTTCCGTACTTTGGCTATTACAAATAATGCTGCAATGAACATGGGGACGCATGTATCTTTTGGGATTAGTGTTTTAATTTTCTTGGGGTAAATACCTAGCAGCAGAATTGCTAGACAGCATGATAATTCTATTTTTAATTCTTTGAGGAACTTACATACCATTTTCCACAATGGCTGCACCAACTGAACTAATCACTGACAGACTGAAAGCAAATAAACTATAGCAAAAATGTTTCATTCCACAAATAGGCTTTGATGAAAAGGTCCTTTCCAGGTCCAAGATTCTATCATGATCTCAGTTTAGGAGTTGGAGCCCCACATTGGGCTCTGTGCTGACAGTTCACAGCCTGGAACCTACTTCGGGTTCTGTGTCTCCTATCTCTGCCCCCTCCTGCTTACGTTCTCTCTCTTTCGAAAATAAATAATAAAACATTAAAAAGGTTTTTTTTTTTTACAATTTGCTGGACAATATATACATACATGGTAATGTCTCCAAATAATTGTGTCAGATAATTGGATCAGAATCTTGCCATGATTTACTGCAAGCTAAACATGGATTGGAGAATAAGGCTTTGCAAATGAGGTTCTGAGTATTTTATACATAAAATGACAGTCCCTGGCTAAATCAGACAAGGAATTTTCCATTCCACAGAATGCATCTGATTCTTCACACTACCCCCTAGGCAAGTACTCTAACTGAAAAACCTGCTGAGCACCAGACCACTGAGAAAACCATGAGAACGAATAGGACTGCAAAGTCAGTCAGCCTCACTCACCAGCCTGTCAGTATCCAGATGCTGTCAAGAAATAAGATGGGGGAAAACTCAAAAAGCTAGATACCAGAACTCAAGGTCTTAAAACAAATGAAGCTTCCTTTCAATAAGACTCACATAACGAAAAGGCACCACAAACGATCGAAAGACATGCTGGAGCACATGTTTGACAGAGTGAGAAAGGGCAAGCAGAACAGGACATACCATATGCTAACGGCCCTTAAATTAGATTTCTGATAATGTCAGTGACTGACAACTATTTTTTGAGCCTATCGTATTTGGAAAATGATGAAAGAACTGCTTTGAATTCTAGTTTTGTTTGTGGCACTTGGCTCAAAAAATTAGGAAAAAATTACCTATTTGCAGTGAACCATTTAAGTTTCTGTCCTCCTAATGAGGCTTTCAAAAATATTTTCTTTTTTCACCAGTTACTTTTCAAATTACCATCAAATACATACCTTCCTCCTATCGAGTCGTCTTGTGGTTGGGCCCCGGCAGTGTTCCTCTGTGAACGTCGCAGTGACCCCCCTGGATTGTTATTAGGCCGGTTGGACATTGGCACCTCTCTCTTGAAGGGACATACCCTTTCTAGACACTACCATTCACTAAAAGGAAAAAAAAGAAGAAAAAAATATCAGCTATATGTGGTACAACACAGAAACCAAATAACGGGCAGCAAAGATGAAGGGGAAATTTTAGGCCAACAATTTATACGGCCAAACCGATGCTAGACAGTCTTATTCGAAATCTGACTAACATAGTATAAGATGTCAAGAATATACCAAATTCAAGGCCTGTGATCCAGAACCCAGCATATAAAATTGACATAGATTTCTCATGAAAATACCTAGGAAATTCTCAATTCAAAGAAAACAGGGCACAAGTAAAAATCTGTCTCTGCTTCTTCATTTCTTATAGTGTAGGAAAGGGCACGGGCCCAACATCAGAACATTCTGGCTCAAGTTACGTGACAGAACAAGTATTAAAGGGGCCTGTCTGCCTTTGTACAAATCAGAGCCTCTAGCATCCAGCTTCTCGGCCACAGAATAAACATGTCATGCCTACTTCACAGTATTACTGTGAATAACAAATGACATCATAAATGCAAAGGGAACCGTAACACTATGGAGAAATGAGGAGAAAGTGGCTCAAGTACAGTGAACTAAGAAATGGTCCCAATTGGGGCGCCTGGGTGGCTTAGTCGGTTAAGCGTTCGACTTTCGCTTAGGTCATGATCTCGTGGTTCGTGGGTTCGAGCCCCGCATCGGGCTCTGTGCTGACTGCCAGCTCAGAGCCTGGAGCCTATTTCGAAGTCTGTGACTCCCCCTCTCTCTCTGACCCTCCCCTGCTCACGCTGTCTTTCTCTCTCTCTCCTAGAAATAAATAAAAATATTAAAAAAAAAAGAAAAAAAAAAGAAATGGTCCCAGATATCCTGGATTTCAACATCAGCTGTGCTGGCTGTGACCTTGGACCAGACACTTAATCTATCGATTTCTTTTCTTTTACCTCTTCTGTGAAATTAGTATATTACCTATCTCACAGAATTGTTAGCAATAAGAAATTGAGAACATAATTCACAAATGTAACAATTTAGCTCAAAACACAGTTCTAAATCAATGTGAACTTTCTATTAGTTTAATTACTATATAAAAAAAAATGCCGATACTCAAAATTAAGTTAACTGATAAATCGACCATCATCACTATCACAGAATCAATTTGTATTAATCAAATCTTCACAATTTTTCCTAAGCCTCCAGTCAAACTCCAAGTAGAGTTATTTCATTCTATTTACTGGGGAGGGAAGAGAACGTATGTGACATCCCTGGACGCAGTGCCAAAGACAATGCAAATTACTGACGACTAAATATGTTACTGGATTTTGTTTTAAGACCTTCCATACTCTAGAACAAGAAGTGGGTTCTCTTTTGAATTACACAGGGACCCAATTCAGCAGCAGAAAAAGATAGTTTCTGTCACAAATGCCCACATCATCATCAATTAATATATTAAATAAACTCTTGGTCAGAAAGTTTAAATTTCTCATGTAGTTAACTACCAATTTTAGAAAGAAAAAACAGGGAACGGAAACGTTGTTGAGAGAAATACTGAATTTACATGTAATAATGTGGAAAGATCTTCCCCAAGATACGTTAAGAGGGTAAACCATGTAAAACTCCTGGCTATGTGTAGGCAGATTTAAAAGACTGCATATATATCCTTATCTATTGTCTACACATTGCAAACTGATGAAAAGATTCGTAAAACAGACTTTGTTAACACTGCCTGCCTTTGAGAAAGAGGACCTGAGGTCTGAGATGAAAAGTCTCATTTTTGTTAGTTACCATTAATAAACCATAATAATAATAGATCATAATAACTGGTAAGGCAGGTCACTCTAGCAAAGCAGTTAAAAATGCATGGCTCTGGAGTCAAAATGCCTCTGGCTGAGTTTGAATCCTAACTCTTATACCAACAAGTTGTGTGGCCTTGTATATATACTTCTTTGTGCTTCAGTCTACCAAATGGGGATAAAGAACTTACCTCACAGAGCAGCTGGGAGGATTGAATGACACATCCATGCAAACCACTTACTAAGGTGCCTACGCTACTGCAAGGGCTCAGTACATATTTTTTTTAAATTTTTTTAATGTTTTACTTATTTCTAGGAGAGAGAGAGAGAGAGACAGCGTGAGCAGGGGAGGGTCAGAGAGAGAGAGGGAGTCACATACTCTGAAAACAGGCTCCAGGCTCTGAGCTGGCAGTCAGCACAGAGCCCGACGCGAGGCTCGAACCCACGAACCGCGAGATCATGACCTAAGCGAAAGTCGGACGCTTAACCGACTAAGCCACCCAGGCGCCCCAAGGGCTCAGTACATATTAACTATTACTCTTATTACTATGAACGTTTACTGTGAATAAATAGAATCCTTGTGACAAAATAATACACTGGGGCAACTTCATAGAAACCACCGTCAAGGTGAGTCTAACATTTCTAGAGATATAGTTTCAAAGTGAATTCTGCTATAAACACAACACACAGCGCTTTTCATTAAGGATTAATTACACAATAACCTGAGAAGTTTTGTCAAAATATGAATGCCTGGCTTTTGCCCTCTGAGATTCTGATTCTGTGGGTACAAGGGCTGGAAACATTTTAAAAGAGATCTCCTCGTAGAACTGCTCCGGCCAACAACTAACTGCATCCCCTATTAAAGAATTAAACAAAAGCCATTCTATCTCAGAATTCACCCAAGAAGCTATACTAATTCCAATATCACAATGCCATTTCACTTAGACCCAAAACAGCATGGAAATAAGAGAAGAGGATGCTGCTGCCGCCTTCACTTTGAAAAGCAAAAGAAGATTATTATTGAACAGGATTGGTCGACCTCACCAGCCTACTTCCTGCTATTAAATGCATACTGCAGGTCATGGGATGTTAACTCATTCAAGGGGATAGAAGGGACACTGCTTATTCTGACCTGTAGTTACCAAAGGAACCTTAACAACACTCCCAACATCTTCAGAGTTTGTTGACCAGTACCACTGGCCAGTACCATTATCAGCCCCATGGCCTGTTCACAGATAACTCTTGCTAAAGACAGGAAGGGTGGTGGCAAGTAAGATGACAACTATTTATTCAACTGCTACCTGTTTTTTAAGGAAGGCAGCCAGGCTCTGTTCAACTATGGAGTTTGAAGCCCCAATAAGTAAACAGAAGATAAACATAAGATATATACAGGACCTCCCCCTCTTCTAGGTTACCAATAAATCCAAGGCTGGAAGGGACCATCCCAGGTGACCAACTTCAACCTTTCACAAATCCAAAAAAGTTCAAGTCATCTGTTGAGGAACTAGTCCTCTGAATCCGACAACTGAGGAGATGATCTCCTACCTCAACTTCAACAAAACTCAACTCCTCTTTGGCTCCAGGTAAAAGCCCAAATGTTTTCACTGTACAATGATTTTTTTCCTTCTTGTTATATGAATATTTGGTACTCTGCCTACTAATTAAATTTTAAAACACATACGTGAGTTACACCAATAGAGAAACTATTGCTAGAATTTGTGTTTTAATAATCCGAAATGAGTATAAACTCAAAAGATTCCATCTTAACACTGAAACGGTAAGTTTTAAATCCAGCCTGTTAATAATCTAACCACCAAATCCTGAAACATCCTACTCTTCTAACATAGTACCTTCATTTCTGTGAAAATAATCACATAAAACCTCTGATATTAAATCCTAAAATACTGAAGGTAAACAGATGGCATATAGGACTCTGACCTCAACAGGAAAAGTATAAAACCACTAATGGGTATGTTCAAGACTATAAAACTCATGATGACTTTGTTCCCAGCTAAGTGTCCAACAAACTTACTCATTGTTCAGGTTAAACAGCGTTCGGATTTTATGTGAAAAGTACTTAGCTCTTCAGGCAAACAGAACTCAGGAAAAACAGAACTGCATATTAATCTATTTTTAAAAATTCACTCTTAAAATTTTATAAGGATATTCTTTTAAGGAAATTTCAACTGCAGTCATTCTGGAAACTGATTTCCCTCTAATTCTGTTACTTCAAAATCACAGAAAAGAGAGTAAGACTAGGGGGAAAGGGGAGGATTAAAAAAAATTCAGGGGCACCTGGGTGGCTCAGGTGGCTAAGTGTCTGACTCTTAATTCCAGCTCCTCAGGTCGTGATCTCATGGTTCATAAGATCGAGCCCCACATCTGGCACTGTTGACAGCACTGAGCTTGCTTGGGATTCTTTCCCTCTCTCTGCCCCCAACCCCTTCTCTCTCAAAATAATAATTTTTCATTTTAAAAAAATAAAGTAAAATTAATCGATCATTCACTTAGTGTAAAACTCAAAAACACCAAGAGAAATGGACTGCAAAAATTCCTTCAGGATGTAGTAGTTCTTCCTAATCAAATGGCCAAGTATGAAAGGAAAATATGAAAGGGAATACCACAGAGGTCCGTTAGTACTTATGCAGAGTTTTTATCACATGAAGGACATATGACAGACTAGAAACCAAATCTCCAACTTAGTAACCCAGAACAGAGTCACAAAAAGCCCCACAGTGAGCTAGCTAATTCATTTACTTGTATAATCACTACCTACTACCTATTTGTGAGGCAAAACTGAAAACAACTCCATTATTTCAGTCAAGATGATAACATTTTAAAAAGCTAATACTTATGTCCCACAATGTCTGCAGAAAAGTTTTCAGCTTCCAGAACTGACACTGAAAGTGGATCTTATTTATCTGGTATCTCCCCCGCACCCCATTTCTTATGAACACTAGTTAGATGTGGTCCTCCAAAGGGTACTTGGTTCAGCTTCAGATTCTAAAACTGGAGTTTAATAACACCAGTAATAAACACAACTGCCTAACACTTTACTCCTCTGTTTATTCTATTAAGCAAAATTTAAATGTGCCAATGAGCCTTAAAAACCATTTTATTATTCCTACTTTACAAATGAGGAAAGGGAAGTGTTACAAAATTAAGTAGCCTGCATGCACCAAGTAAAGGTATATAGACTTTCGGACCACAGGTAACAGCATCCAGAACTGCAGATGTGAACAACTGCATATA